TTCAGACTCAAGAATTCACACAGTGTAATGCTATTGGTTGTACTCTATCATAATATTTGCCACTCACATAGTAGTATCCATATCACTCATATATCATTCATGAACTCTCACAGCTTCAACTCGGAACCTCTCCTCAATCTTCGTCTCTGAATACAGTCAGCATCACACTGTTCTTTTTAACACATCTCCCAATTACCTCAGATCCATTCAAAAACCTCACCAGCCAATGACCAATTTTTTCGCCGCACACCTCATCAAGCTCGATTGGAGGGGAGGCTCGTTTTGCTATGGATACTCACCTTGTAAGCCTCAATTATTTGCTGTGGTACATTATTATTCTTACCTGTCTTTGGTAGGATGTAAACTACTCTTTATTTGAGTCCGAAGGTGACTCTGACCTCGCCCCGGAGGCAACTAAGGCGAAACGGAAAGTATGTGAGGCGGAGAAGAAACATCTTGCCGATTGTATTCTGGAACATCAATCTATACTTCTCGACCTGTGGCGCTGTCGTGCGGAGGTAGCAAACTGCCATTTATTGAATGCGGATCTCAATGTTGGACACATGCACATGGAGCGCAAGAAGAGTGGTATTGCAGCATTCGCTCGCTCAGACTCAGGTTTAATGGTAAGTGCTCATTTGTTGGTTTCGTTATAACTTATCACCATTGAGATGATTGCAGACAACCTCTTGACATACATCTTTGTCACAAACAATCCTGGCAACATCAAGATATTTTTATTTTTCACACTTCTAGTATGATATCATCTCGAGCGCTACTAGTACATACTTTGTTACTTTGTTTGTTTGTGCTGCTTGTATCGCTCTGTAGATATTTGTAATGTCAATTGCTTGTTGGCTTGTGTTGTTTGTGACGCTTGTGTAGTTCTGTAAATGTTTGTTATTGTTGTGACACTGTGTCACGAAATCAGTACTTTGCTGATGACGGTGCTTTCCCCCCCTTTTCCTTGCAGGTTGGAGGCCCCCAGGAACCGATTCTATGCATATGTTTCCCGTTTCGAGACCAGTACTAATGAAGCCTGTCATATACCATATTCCCGGGTACAGATCCGAAGATCTGGATCTCAGATCTGATCCAGATCCGATGGACATATCCGTCGTCCGGTCCACAGATCCGATCTAATCCTTATTTCATGTCCTGTTCATATAACTCTAACTATCGTTCATCTCCTTTTGGCATTCTTGTACACCGGTATACCGGTTATCCTTTACTTCCATTATGCTTACTGATCTGCTACACTTACTGATCCGCTTTAGCTTATACTTCATTCCTGGTTATGATACGTTATCTGTCCGACCTTACCAATATGCTGTACACATACTTTGCTTATACTTTGTACATAGCCTCGCACCTTTGCTTATCAATCGTTCCGTTAGTTATCCGTAGTATATAAACCCTTGTACATGCGCTGTAGTAGATCAGTTCGAATATCATCTTAGATTGCACTCATTCTGTCTGGACTCTGAGTCCCTCCATTATCCGTCCGGACTTGAGTACGATACTCTTGTCTACTCCAAGACTTAGGATTGATTCCTATAGTCTATATATCCGTCTCTGTCTTCGGACAGTCTTCACCCGTTAGTTTCTAGTTCGGATCCGATCCAGATTAGCTGTTTACTCTATACGTTCGATATCCGGAAGACTTAACAGATCCGTTATGATACTTATCCGTCTCACTAGATGTGATACTCTAGCACTCTGAAATAAGGGGCAAGACTCGGGAAAGGGGCACAGCGCACAGCGCACAAGCTGAGGCCGAAGCCCTTCGGATCCGATATGACTTGAGTACGGTCTTAACAAAGCCCCTCTTTTGCTAGATCTCAGCGCTGGTCGCAGCTGCGTTGGAGCGCAAGCTCATCTCCAATGCCACCATTGTTGATGACTGCGCTGCTTCCAGACTCTGCTGCCCTCCTCCTTCCAATGATCACAGACACCTTTGCATCATCCTCAAACAACGAGTCCAATTCGGGCGCAGCCACTGCCATCCCTGCTCCTCAGCAAAGTTCCATTAGTGTTGGTGGCGCATTCGCCCTGGTAATTGCGTTGATCTTCATCAGTCTTGTAATTACCTACCCCTGGTGGAGGCCAAAAATCCCGCTCAACTCATTCTGTGGCTGGTGTCCTTGCTTTATTCCAACCCACACCAAGCATTGCAATGCCAGCATCGTGAACTGCCACTCCACCACCATCACAATGACTCCTGTCCTCAGCCATGCAGCCACCAGGGGCATCACTGCTGCCGCAGACTCCTCGACTGATCACGGTTCGTTCTGCAGTGTTGATGCACGCATGTTTGAGCGGAGAGCTCAGCTCTCTGTCTTGTCCGATGCTGGAACACCGCAGCTGTCTGCTGAGGCCCACACCACTGATCCGGGAGCAAGTGCAATCCGGGCCTCGATCAACACGGACCAGCAGTCACTCCCTTTCCCACTTCGCTTCAAACCAGATGGCGAGCCGGAGATCCACTACCTTTCTGTGTAGGTTTCGATCCCCTTCCCTCCTGTTTGCCCTCAGCTGACTCTAATGGTGTGGCAGCTACACTAAGAACGTCAAAGCAATGAGGCAGCAGTGCATTCAGCTCAACCTCCCCTCCTCAGGCACCAAGGCCGTTCTTCTTGAGCGTCTTGAAGGCTTCAGCCACAACTGAAATGCATGGGATAGGTATGTGAAACCACACCTCTCCCAGTCATTTTTTTCAGCATGCTCAAGTCACCTCGTCTTCAAGCCTCAAGTCTGGAGCCCGCAAAGCTCACAAAGGTCCACGGACAGGTTTGGCAAGCAAGACCAAGGCACGTCGTGTAAAGCAATCAACTCAGTGTCGCGCTGAGTTACTCAGTGAAGCAACCTCTGACATCACCACAGTCACCCCCTCCAAAGACACCTGCACAACAGCCGAAGTTGCAGTGCTGTTGCCTTGGGTAAGTAACCACTTGCATACTGCCCCCTTTTCGAGAGACTGATGCACCGCATGGGCAGGCCGATGCCATCAATCATGCATTCCCATATGCACCGACAGATGGACAGCTTGCACCGGCTGTGAGCACCATTCCCTGCTCTCACATTGGCAACTCCACTCCTGTGAGCACCAGTTCTTTGCATTCTGTGGGTGCTGATGCGAGCTTGGAAGATGCAATCATCCAGAGTGTGGGTACAAGGCTGGTCGACATTGTCCAAGGCACCCTCCAGCCAAGCACAGTTCAAGCTGGGCTACCTGCTGGGCCTCAGGATGCAGGCACCTCTACTGTGTGCACACCAGAGGAACCTGCGCTGGCCACTGAGCTGAGCACCAAGAGGATGCGGCTTCTCAAGCTTGAGAATGGCACAATGCTGCAAGTGGCTGACAGCGAAATCACGGACCCGCCTGCCATCAGCTTTGTCAAAAACATTGCTTGGCTCAATGGGATGTGGGACGATCACACGGAGCACTGGCAGGGCATGTCTGTCATCAACATCCAGGGCCACCCAATTGCAATTGAGTACTGGCCTTTGCTCTATCGCTACAGCCATGATCAGCAGTGGAAAGGCACGAAAAACAAGTGAGCTGACTGGCATGTATGTGCAAGTTTCTCCATAGCTGACCTCAACTATCCTGATTCGTCTCCTGCTTCTGTTCCACAGGACATTGTTGAGCTGTACCGACAAGGCACCCCAGAGCAATTCTGGGCCAAGTTCAGTGGTGCCAATGGCGAGCCCTTGAAGTTCACTGCCATCGTTCACAAGCTCCATGAAGAGCACAAGGATGCAAACTTTGCCCTCATGGGGCGTGCTCGCTGAGGAATTTGGCTCGGACTTCTTCTTCACTTATCGCAAAGGGGGCAAGGAGCATGCCATGACAAGACCATCTGCGATCGCAAAGAAATACAAGGAACTAATGGCTAGCAACTTGAAGGAGGTCCATGATTGACTGTAGGCACTATACTAAGTAGTCACAAAGTAAAATTTATTTCATAGTGCAGCCTATGGACATGTTTTGTGGCAGAAGTCCAAAAATTAGAAAATTGAATGGTGCACCATGACGTAGGGCCAGTAGGGGCTTAACAAACAGCGTTGATTACATTAGGGGCCTTCCAGTACTTGAACTCGAACCACTTCAGAACCACTCACAACTTGAAGGTGCCTACCAGTATGTACTGCTCAAATCTCATCTCCAACAGAGGCCTGCACTGACGGCACTACTACTGCAGTCATACTAGCTGCCATGTCGACACCATTCAACAATACACCAGAGAGATGAGCAGTGGCAGTCCTGAGAACTTGGATGTTGACTTGGACATTCACACTGTTGACATCCTCCCTTTTGCCCATCTCAGCTTTGCAGCATCCATCAAACTACTCTCAGAGCAATTTGGGTTTACTGAAGGTGTCATCCAGAAGGTATACAGACAGCTAGAAAACTACGTGGAGGCCATGGATGTCATTGAAATGATGCGAGATGTATCGGAGGAGTGGGTGGTAACGGAGATTTTGAAAGACATGAGGGCGACGACAATGAAGACTCGGAGAATGAGGGTGACAGTGATGAAGGCTCGGAGAAGGATGATGGTGTCAAAGACCCAAAGGAGGGTAAGGATGCGAAAGGAGACCTTGATGATGTCAAAGAAGAGGAGGATTAAATGAGCACATTGCACAGTTACTGCGATATACATGGAGTACTGTATACTATCTAGGCCAGAGTCTGAGCTCACTGGGATTTGCTTTGGTGACAATGAGTCTATGTGTGAGCGTACAGGAACTTTCATATGACCCTGGAAAAACGGGAGGAACAGAAACAAAACAGAGCAAGGAAAAGAAGAGACAACAAGGATGGAACATAGAAAAATTAGCCACAAGGGCAGCATCTCCCACAGTGTGGGCACTTGACAGTGGGGGGTCTATCAGGATTGAAGAAATGCTCCCTTGGCTCAACAGGGTTGTCATTTGATGAGATGAGATATTTGACTATGGTCAAATTTGAAAATTCGGCACTCCAGCCTCCCCACTCACAGATCTTCCTTAGTGCCCAGTGCCTTTCGATATGTAGGTACTGGCAGCCTCCTCGTCAGGAACGAGTGGGTGCCATATGGGGCTGGATCGATGCCAATGTCCAGCAAGTTGTTGCGGAAAAGCTCTAAGAATTGTTCGGAGGCCTATAAGTGCATCAGCAATGTTTCTGGCCACCAGAGCATCACCAGAACTCACCATTGGGGTGTCGGCCTCCACTACGCAATCACCTGAGGCAATTTTCCAAAAAACATACCCAGACTCAATCCTCGACTCACCCAACCAGGCTGTGAGGGTCCTGACAGGGCAGATGTGGGCCTCATGCGGTGGAAAGACCCACAGATGGAATGGTTTGATATCTGGATGATAGTTAGACACAAAAAAATCAACATCAGCATGTCCATATTGCACACCTCCATTCTGATGTGTCTTGTGGAAAGGGAGGTGTAGTGTCACCCCCTTCTTGTACACTCTAAAGTCATGGGCCTGGATCTTGAGGACCTCATCAAAGCGCAGCATACACACAAACATTATGGTATATGTGGCCTGCAACAGCCTCTGGGCATGGCCACCACCCCAGCAGTGCAAGCTAAGACGCTCGCCAGGCTGGTAAGGATGAATGGCCCAGTTTTCATTGAGGTGGTTGTTGTGGTAAAATTTGAGTAGAATATCCTGTAAAGAGTTTAACTATGATTATTGATGGCTTGGGAAGTCAGGAACTGCTCACCGTCATTATGGCACGGGCACTATTTGCCACTTTCGCCAGCCTTGACCTACCCAGGTGTTGAGTAACTCGGGCTGGTCAGAATCAGAGAGTCAGAAAAGGTCACCTTGCGATGTCGGAGCAAGCACATGAAAGAGGACACTTCTGTTGATATGGAGGGATTGCAAACCATGATACCACCCCCAACATCTGACTCGTGCCACCACATATTCCCAAGGCCCTGGAGCCTACCAAATGCATATGTCATAGAGGCACGCATCTTTTGTGCATGGCTGTACATGCCATGCTCTTCGCTCGATGGTTTTTGTGTGCCATCAATGTTGATCGAGTCGCACCTTCAATGAGCTCCATCATCATCATCAACATCTCCGAGTCGGACAGTATCACTCACGAGTTCATAATCCAGGCCACAATCAGCCATGGTGTGTCAGCACGTGGTCTCTTGCAAAAAAAAACCTTGTCCTTGTGCAGCAGGTGCATGCCAGTGAGGAACACCACTGCCTGATTCATTTGCCTGCCCAAATAAGCAGTAATCCACCATCAGAAACTGCGAGGGCCAAAGAAAGAATGAACAAAAACCTCTTGTATTCTGAGTCCATGCCTTCAGTAACACCCTTGGACGCATCCATGAGCGTGGATTGGAGCTTCGCAAAGTCGATCATGCCATCTGTTGACTTTGACTCAACAAGAGTCTCCTGCTCAGCAGTAATGTCCTCCACGATGTCATCCATTTCGAGGCTGCTGGCTGACACAGATGGAAGGAGGCCACAGAGACCTGGAAAGTGTTGGACAGATTCAGGTAGTGTAGTAGACATGATGGTTCGAAGGTGAGAGGGAGAGCTCACCGTGAAACCCCTCTTGAGGATGAATTTGAAATAAAGCCACTTGCCTGGCATGTGGTCTGGTTCGAGAACTTGAGGGCCATGAAGGGCGGAAGGGAAGGGACAGAAATATAGTTAAGAAAACTGCTGTTCGGAACCAAGAAACTGACTTAGCGAGCATGGGGACCGTCTTTTTTCCAACCAACAGGCCATAGTCCAACTGTTCCCCTTGAGTGTTGCAGGGAGTGATGCTAGTCCACCAGGTGTTTCTCGGGCAAAAAAGACGTTCACAGCCAGTGTGACACCTCCAGTTGATCTTCATATCACCGGGGGCTTCAAGAACAAGTGAGATGACAAGTGAGGTGACAGCATGCTGCTCTGCCTGATCATTGAGTTGTTTGAGTCAGATGGGGATCACCGGCAGCCAAGATAGAAGTGGCATACCTTTGATGTATCACGGTAGCAATGCCACTGCTGGAATTGGCCGAAGTTCGCAATGGGGCAGATCACCCGCTAGTGGAGGATCTGCACTTGAAAGAAATAATACAGATGCAAAGTTTAGTGGCAGCGAGCAAGTGACGGCATGGGCAATACCTTGCATATATAACCTTCTGCATTCTTTAGCAGCCAGGCTCCCATCCTTGCGTCCTTCTCATTCGTTCCTCCCCCAAGTGCTAACTGTCCTTTTGTTGAGAGCTTCCCCATTCCTTTGTCTTTCCAAACAGCAAAATCAAAAGCACTATGCCATCAGTGAGTAAAACAGTTTGCTGTTTCCTTCGTGTCCATGATGCCTGCGACATATCTGTTGCTTGTGGCTATGAGTCGGCGCGATCCCTCGCCCTTGGTGCTTTAGGCACGCACCTTCGTTTTTGTTTGTCCCTCCCCCCAAAGTCCTCTCTCGTTTTTGGCGCAGGATCAAGTGTGCTTGAGGGTGGCTGACCAGGGGGGTGATGGGGTGTCCTCTTGTCACGAGCTGACAGCTCATTATCTGATGGTGGTGCCAATCGTCGATTGAAAGTGGATGAGGGCATCGGTCACATCGTGACCGTTCGTGATCCAACCGTCGTTTTTCGAGTTTGAAACCATACTTCTGAGACATTTTGTTTATGATTTCAATTGGTACGATGTTATCCTGCGAAAGTATCCTTCGTCTAATTGGTTGGGCTAGGGTAGACTGATATGAAATACGGTCTTTCAGGCAAAGGCAGTGGAGTACATACTGGTCTGTACTATATTCATTTTAATGTCGAGTCTTTGATAACAGTAAGTGGCGAGTTCGTGAAGCCTTAGATCTACATGAGCCATCATTAAAATAAGAAATAGTCATAGCGAGACACTCATGGCATCAACAGAGATATGGTGGACATTGCCAGCGCCAGGTATGGATGTAGTCACCCGGCGGCATCTATATTCATAGCCATGGTTACCGTTGCCAGGCTTACTGGGTAGAATACTGAAAGTCCCTGCACCTATTTATTGAACAATTATTGAACCAAGCCCTGGTTCACTTAATCCGCTACTACTTAGAGGTGTGGAGGGCCCCATCTGTCACTACTAACTACAGTAGTTACGTGGGAGTCACAGGTGGATGTGATCAATTGCAAGACTTGGATCCACTGAGGAAGAGTCATGAAGATGCAAACCATGGTCGTTGGCTGATTCTGAGTCGGCAGTTGATAATTTATTTACATATTGTTGCTGGCCATGTGCTTTGGATTCTGCATCAGTGCCTTGAAGAACTTCACATGACTAATATAAACTCACTCAGCTATTAATGGTATTCAAAGCAAAATTTGAAACTGCTCTGAAACGGTTCTGAAACGATTCAGAACCGCTCTGAAAGCTGGTTTGAAAAGGCTCTGAGAACCGCTTGAAAAGCTTAATTTTAAACTCCGTTCAAAATACTTGGCGGTTCAAACACTTCAAATTCTCGAAGTTCTGATGTAGGGTTAGGGTTAGATGCGCGCACATACAAAAAAAAGCATGTATTTCGAGCTAGCAAACAATGGTAAAATGTACAATCCCTCCAAGGTTCACCTCGACTGTGCCCAACGCCATCAACCTCCAGTAAAATGTCAATGCTCATTCCAATCACTACACCCCTGCAGGTGTTTAAAGGTCAGGAAGACGGCTTATCATCAGTCGCAGTTTTCCCCCGATAAACGACGGATGATCACGGGCTTGCACAACAAGACACTTCGATAGTGACTGGCTTGGAAAAGCGAAGCCCAAGCCAGAGCGTCCAGCAGAGTGTCGCGAGGCAGACCATGTCCTTAGCTACCTGCTGCACCTGTCTCCTAGGATAGAGGTCTGTTAGTTAGGGTAAGAGGGACACTAGGATGGCGGGGATGGTAGCGGTTTCGAACCTGCGAAGTTCTCGTCAGGGGGCTACTGCCTCCCCAACCGTGTTCTCGGATGATACTACTGAGCCCACCTAGTGGGAGTACAGGCTCTGTTGCACGACTGCAATCGTGAAACGACGACTGGCCAGCTGCGCCCAGCAACGATGACCCACCGGCACAGTAGTTTACGGCTGGGGGAGAGCTAGTTGGGGGTAGGAAACTTCAGACGTCAAATCTTGTGGCCTTGAATCCTATAACCACTTACCGAGGTACCCAAAATGGCCGTTTTCGAACCAAACAGGACTTGGTGTCTCGGTGCAGAGACGATGCTGGATTTTTGGGACTTGGAGACAGGCGTTGTGTCGAAGATGGAGGGTATCGCAAGTGGGTCACCGGGTGCAGCTGGAAATATCACAAGATGGTCAAATAATAGCAAGCAGTGATAAAAAAAAATACCAAGGCGCTTCGACTGCAGGACTTGATAAACCCGTGCATATGCCTAGGTGAGGGACAGCACATACCTTGAGATGTTGAGATCGCTACTTGGTACAGCGAGGATGACAGAAGTGCGTGCCACATCAGATTTAAACTCCGATTAAATCTCGCGTAGATCGGTTTGAGTCATCAATCGGAGAGATAAGATACCACCCCCAATGCCTCACCAGTCACAACGTCAAGCACTCCTCAACCAGATAGATTCTGCTAGCTTAGATGTGGCTATGGCATGGGTTGAACATGCCACACAAGATGATGGTAGTTCAGACTCAGCTATGTCTGATATTAGGACCCCATCCCCTTCATCCCCTATGTCCCCTATGTCCCCCTATGTCCCCCATGTCCCCCATGTCCCCCATGTCCCCCATGTCCCCCATGTCCCCTATGTCCAATGCTTCAGAACATTCTGGCAACTCAAGCATCAACTCAATCATGATCCACGAGCAATTTGCTCACCTTCTTGGCTCACTTTCTACTCTTCGGGATGAGGTAGAGATGGCCCGCGTCCTTCACCGACCTGATGAGCCCCCTATGCGAGCTCCACAAATCCAGCTACTCGATCACTTCACTTCTCATCGCCCCCAGCTATTCCAGAAGAAGTTACGCGTTTCTCCAGAAATATTTGACGATATACTCGATGAGATCATTGATGATCCTATTTTCCATAATCAATCCAACAATCCCCAACTTCCCGTTGCCATCCAACTTGCCATATTTCTTAACCGTGCTGGCCACTATGGCAATGCAATCTCAAATGAGGATGTCTGCCAGTGGGCAGGTGTTAGCATTGGGTCAGTCACCAACTGCACCAATCGTATCATGATTGCCCTGCTTGCAAAGCATGACAAATTCATATTCTTTCCTACTCTCGACTCTGATGATGCTGGTCATTCCCAGAAGTATGTTCAGGACCGTACTTGCCCAGAGTGGCGGAATGGTATCCTAGCTGCTGATGGATCATTGATAAACCTTTGTGACAAGCCAGGTCTCTATGGTGAGACTTTTTATAGTAGGAAGTCTCAGTACTCCCTCAACTGCCAGGTATTTTATTTTATTTTATTTTACAGCTCTTTCTCTAATTTAAATTCTTTTAGGCGGTTATTATGATCCACAATCTTGCTATAGCAGATTATGCTATCGGTCACACTGGCAGTGCACATGATGCATATGCATTTCGATCTACTCATATTTACCATCATCATGCAACACTTCTTGGAGATCACCATTGGATCTGGGCAGATAGTGCCTACCCATTAGAGCCATGGTGCATCCCCCCTTTCAAGAAGCCCGTCAATGGGGCTTTAACCAGTGACCAGAAGGCATTTAACACTGCCCTTTCCAAAGTAAGTGTGTTATTTTATTTTTCCTTGTGTCCATTTATTTTTGGTGATTTAGGTTCGTGTCCGGGTGGAGCATGCATTTGCTGCTCTTAAAAACTGCTTTCAGTCTCTTCGAGAACTTCGACACCCATTGCAGCATGACAAACACCTTACATATATTTCTTACTGGGTCCAGTGCTGCCTCATCCTTCACAACATGGTGATTCGGTTTGAAGAGCACCGTGGGATCAAGAGCACAACTGAAGAGTCAGCCCTTCAAGCCCATGTACCTGCAGTGGACATAGACCATGATGTAGATGGGGTGGGTCCTGGAGATACCTCATATCAGGGTACTCCTGGCCACCAAGTTCGTGCAAAGTTGATGGACTATTTGTTGAACTGACAAGGCAAATGTATTGGCAATAGGTAGAAAACATAGGAGCAAGCATGTAACAACATATAGGCTCAGGAAGCATGTAAACATATGTACGATGAGTTGTAAAACATACAAGAATGATATGCGAGCACGATACACGAGACGCGAGACATGAGACACGAGATGTGAGACATGAGATGCAAGCGAACAACAAACCACTAGTACAACAGAGTCAGATAAATCAATAACGTCGAAGGACGACGATAATGAAGGCTTACCCTAATCAGCACCTCCCTTCAATTTGATAAGCTCAATTTTGAGCTGAAGGGCAGCTTTTCTCTCAGCGTGAACCTCAGCCTGAGCTTCGAGAACTTGAAGGTCAAGAGTCTTGGACTCTTGACAGCGCTGATGTATGAAGACGGCCTCGGTGCGTTCGATCTCAGCTTTCTCACGTTGGAAGTCGAGCTCACATTCCTGACGGAGAGCATTGACCTTGGCGATCTTGTATTCCGACGCCGCTGCCTTCATGGTATATACATATGACATATTGTTGGTTAGCATCTCGACTTGCCCACGGACACCGTCAACCTCTGACCCAACATTCTTCCCAAGGTGAGATTTTTTTGCACCGCTATCTTTGAGCGTGGTGCTCGGTTGGCGTGAGGAGGAAGTTGGCGACGAAAGCCCTGATGATGTAGAGCGTGTGCGTGCCGTTGTCCTCATGGAAGACGATGCAATGGATGATGGCAGTTTCGGTGAGCGGATGGGTCCATGGCCCATTGCACGATCGGCGTGGTTTTTGAATGTACCGTGAGATGAGCGATTATGAGTGTGTGTAGGGGGCAGTGAGGGGGAGGAGAGTGGGCGTTTGTTAGAGAGGGACGGCTGGATCGTAAGTCCTTCTTCATGCTCTACTTCCGCCTGATCCTCCTGCATGGTGTCCAGCTGCTCCTCAAATCCATCATAATTGGGCTCCTCACCCATGGTGAAGTCGTCGTTAATGACAGGTTCCGTGGTATCATAGGGTAGGTTAGTTTTGACGCTGCACGAAGGATTGGCGGCACTGTCAACACGCTCATCTTCAACATCACAAGTGTTGGGAGCATTGTCAATGACGGCCATCGAATCTTCAATGTGACCGTCAGGATCAGGAGGGGGGGCTTGTTCTTTTTCTTTGCTTGTTGGTTGGGTGAGGGCCTTAAGGTCCCCTGCACGGTCTGTACCAGGAGCGGATGAGAAGGTTTTGGCAGCATACGCAGGGTTATCCCTCCAGATTTCGTCAAGATCCTCATACCACGGGAAGTCATTTAAAACTTGCGCTACAACTAATTTAGTTTCGCCCAATTGTTATTTAAAAAACATACCTAGCAGATTGACTGCAGCGCCAGGATCCTCTGGATTGATTCCAGCCCCTGTCTGCTTGAAGCGCGCACGATTAGTCTTATATTTCCCCTTGAGACTAAATGTAGCGTTCAGTGTATATGTACAAAGGGGGGAGGAAGTATATGAAAAACATACTAAGTGAGACGGTTGCCCACGGCCTGTGTGAACTTTGCCTGATCCTCAGCATACACGGACTTATACATCTCATCCTTCTGGAATATATGTTTGGCGATTACTGCGTAGATCTTGCCCTTGTCACTCCCAGAAGGAGGGCCGTCATCATTAGGCTGAGATTTCTTTCCTTCATAAAAAAGTACTCGACGGTTGGCAGGATGATTGCGTAGGTATGTTACAAGTGTAGAAGTCCGATTGCAGTTTGGCGTTTCCCAGCGGATTTTGCTGATACCAGGAGTATCACCATGAGATGCGGCAGTGCTGGATGAGGTAGCAGCCGTCCCACGTCCCCTTGTACCATGATTAGCCGCGCCCCTTCCCCTAGTACCCCGCGTGCAGGCTGCATTTGGATAGTTATCGGCGAATTGGTGAGCTTTTGCACTTGGATCTTGAGTCGCTCTGAACGTCGTACTCGAGGGCGTATAGCAGGCATGGTGTACGCATGGACCAACTTCGAATTCAGACTCCGCTGGAAGTCTGCCGACGTTCCGTAGAGTGCTGAAAGAATTTGACAGCATTTCAGAACCTTGATATTTTTACTTTGAATACCATTATTGTTGTCTTGAACTGCAGCACTGAGTCGCCGCTGACGACTAATTTGTAGTGCGTTCCAGCTCCCGAGTCCTCCAGATTTCAGACTTTGGCTTTAAAAGAAGATCATGTACTGGCTGCATGTTCTCTTTTGTTTTTCTACCTTCCAATTGAGTACGTCACAGAGCACTGGCCGAGGAGAACAAATCCGGATTCTGGAGAAACTCTTAGAAGTAGTGGTCACATCATATCAATGCTTCCGCATCCTCAGCCTGGCGCTTGTTTCATCCTGATTCAACTACCATTTATCAATCAAATCGTATATGCCAACTGATCTGTGGCTCTCGGCGCAACATGAAGTCGATAAGTTGATCTTGATAGTGATCATGGACTCGTCCTACTCTGTGCAGGAGGACACAGAGGATTATAATGAACTCATTGAGCGCCATCCTGCAACTGAGAGTGATGGGGTTGTTCACATTTGTGGCAGCATCATCAGCTTTGTAGACCATCTGGATGACAAATTCATGAAGAGTCTCCAAAACATCGATACCCATGGGATGGAGTATATCGACCGTCTTCAGGACGAGAAAGTACTTTATCGTACTATTAGCTGTTTGCAAGTTTTCTATGAACAGACGAGCCAGCTGGAACCCCTTGCGCAAGTGATCATGCAACAGTTGGAGCATATCTATGAGGTTGGTTGAAGTCAGTCCACTGCAGTACTTTTTTGATAATGTTTGTAGTCTGATGCTGTCATCTCTACTCTTGGGTCTTCATTGGCTTCGTCGGAGATAATTCTCAGCTTTGCTCTGGCATCTTCTGCTACTGCTTTGTTCCTCATTCACTCCCTTTGTGTTCATCTTTACAAAGCCAACAACTCCCTTCTGCACACTCGCACCATGCCCAGTCACATCAACCATCACACCTTGTACATTGGATTCTATACGGTATAAGACATGTTACTTATATTGCATCTGCAAGAGTCAATTCATTCTGCGGATGTTGCAATGCAGATCTTGTATAATTGGACCATTATACAGCTCAGGCTTTGTGCTTTCAGATGTAGGTTGATAAAAGAGGCTCAAGTGACGCTGCAAGACATCTTCACAACACAGCACGTGAAGGAGTTGCCACTCATGGTGTCTGCCAAACAGCGCTTTAATGTAGAGGAAGGGGAGACAGGACACAAGGAAGCCTGTGCAGTGGTCCCCATGGACATGGCTCGTAATTTGCCCAGGGTCTCTGTAATCAGACGACAAGAGTACGATGAACTTCTTGTTGTGTCAATATTTATTGTCTTTTGGAATGTATATATGTTCGTTAGCTTCCTCACAATGTTGGGAGTCGAGCCCCTTCAGTGACAAATCCCGTATTATACAGGTCACCCGACCTACATAATATCCCATGTAATACGGGCCAGCGGATTATGGGCCGATGTTATGTATATACCCGATGTTGACGGGTGGGCTGGGAGGAATATTATTTCCGATGGAGACGGGTGGGCCCATCTATGCTGATGTTATATATATCATCGATGATAGCGGATGGGCCGGGAGAAATATCATTATGGAGATGGGTGGGCCCATGTGGGTAATATGTAGAGTAGGATTGACATATATTATAGACCTGAGGAGAGATGTATAGCAAATAGTATTATATAGACGGGTGGGCCGACGTATCAGTATTATTTTGTAGACGGATGGGCTGAGGGAGCGGTGAAATATTTATTAGATAGACGGGTGGGCCAACGTAGGGAAATATTAGATAGATGGGTGAGCCAAGGGTGGGGTGAATTATTTATTACATAGACAGGTGGGCTGATGTGGGGTAATATTAGATAGATGGGTGGGCCGAGGGTGAAGTGAATTATTTATTACATAGACAGGTGGGCCAACGTGGGGTAATATTAGATAGATGGGTGGGCTGAGGGTGAGGTGAATTATTTATTACATAGACGGGTGGGCTGACGTGGGGTCATATTAGATAGACGGGTGGGCTGAAGTGCAGAATTTTACATAGACGGGTGGGCCGACATCGGGTAATATCAAGTACCAAGTACTAAAACCCAAAACCCAAAACCCAAAACCCAAAACCTGAAACCTGAAACCTGAAACCTGAAACCTGAAACCTGAAACCTGAAACCTGAAACCTGAAACCCGAGCCCTGAACACCCAGACTTGGGACTCAAGAGACTCAAAACTCAAAATTCAAAACTCAACTGGAAACTCATACATTGTTACGAGTTAAGAAAATTCAAATTTAAGATGATATACATTTTTGTCATCTGGAAATACCGAGTACCGAGACCTGATACCCAAGACCCGAGATTCGGCACTCGGTAGTCAGTGAAATGAGTACAGAAATACATAAGATACTACACATTAGTTTCAAATTTTGACTTGTGAATCACCAGTCTCAAGTCTCGAGACTCGAATCACCGAGTACTGACTACCAAGTACCAAGTACCGAGTGCTGAGTGCCAAGTGCCAAGTGCCTTCCGAGTGCTGAGTGTCCTGATGCTTTCAAGCATTACCACCCAGATAGCCCTTGCTCTCAGGGGTCCATCAGAATTTAGATTATCTCAAACAGATGTGATTTGAGTGAGATATGAGCAAAATACTATATATCAGGTGAATTTCAGCATTGGAAGTTCAATGCTTTCAATGATTTTGATGTCGGGCCTCAATGCTTTCAGGCATTGATATGCAGATAGCCTTCACTCTCCAGGGTCCTTCAGAATTCGGATCGTATTTCAGCATCAGGAGTTTGATGCTTTCAATGATTTCAATGTGAGGCCTAGATGACTGTGTTCATTGACATGTGGATAGCCCTCAATGTCAGGAGTGTCGCAGAATTCATATGGCCTCACATGGACATATGAGGTAATGTAGGACATTCTCAACACATCAGGAGACACATAAAAACACATCATAAGGCACTACATCATGTCTTCAATAGTTATACCTATGTGTAGTATGATAGTGTGATCTTTAATATGCTGTTCAGGCTGACACTCATCAAGTATCACAGGTCTATTGTACAGACTTAGAATAAAATACAATAGTCTTAACTTGATAGTCATTACACGATAGTCTTCACTTGATAGTCTAATATGATTGTTGATTACTACATAATACATAAGCTGTGAGGGTTAGGATTATTATGGAAGATATGACAGTCATGGTTATTAAGAAAGCTTATATTATGCCTAGCAAGTTAAGACTATTGAGTTAAGACAATCATATCCTTAGTCTAGTAAGCATTGTCAAAGCTTGTGACCTTCTGGTAACCGTGTGGCAAAATCATATTTTGCTGATGTATATATCTTGTGATTGTAACTTTCTTGCACCAGTGCACAGTGATTGCCTTGAATTTCGAGTTTTTTTGTATTTAGAGATACATACCACTGACAGATACTGGTTCAGGGACTGGAACAGTACATTGGAAGCCAATCTATCATATTATACATAGGTGTGATCATAGCAAACCTGATGCAGTCCCTGATGATGTGTTTTTATGTTTCTCCTGATGTTTAGAATTTTTCCCACACAAGGCTGACAACAAAGACATTGAACCTGCGAAGCTCAGACACACCCAATAAATTGTATTTTGCTCATATCTCCCTCAAATCATGTCTGTTTGAGGCAAAATATGATCCCCAACATCCCTTCAATAGTATATGCAATATATAAGGATACTAGGACAACAGGATTTATTCCTGTTGTGCTATGTGCTTACCCTTGGTGCAAGGCCTGACATCAAAAATCACCTGATATATAATATTTTGCTCATATCTCACTCAAGTCTTATCCGTGTGAGACGATCTGAATTGTGACAGGCCCCTGAGATCAAGTTCTATCTGCTTGTGAATGCCTGAATGCATTGAGGCTAGACATTGCAAACATGGAAAGCATTGACCTTACAATGCTGAAATACACACAGTATATGGGATTTTGCTCATATCTCACTCAACTCTTATCCATTTGGGATGGGCTAAATTCTGCCAGACCCGTGAGATCTAGGGCTATCTGCATGTCAATGCCTGAAGGCATCGAGGCTTGATATCAATAACATCAAAAGCATCAAACTTCTGATGGTGAAATTCACTTGGTATATAGTATTTTGCTCATATCTCACTCAAATCACATCCGTTTAAGATGATCTAAATTCTGACGGGCCCCTGAGAGCGTGGGCTATCTGGGTGTTAATACCCGAAAGCATCGGGGCACTCGGCACTCGGAACTCGGCACTTGGCACTTGGAAATCGGAACTCAAAACTCGGCACTCAGCACTCGGTAGTCAGTATATACATAGTATGGTGCAAATATCTCACTCAAATTATATCCGTTTGAGACAACGTGAATTCTGCCACACCCCTGAGATCGAGGGCTATCTACATGTCAATGCCTGAAAGCATCGAGACCCGACATCAAAAACATCGAAAGCATCGAACTTCTGATGCCAACATTCACCCGGTATATAGTATTCTGTTCATATCTCACTCAAATCACATCCGTTTGAGATGATCTAAATTCTGACGGGCCCCTGAGAGCGAGGGCTATCTGGGTGTTAATACTCGAAAGCATCGGTGAGCTCGGCACTCGGAACTTGGCACTCGGCACTTGGAACTTGGAACTTGGAACTTGGAACTTGGAACTTGGAACTTGGAACTCGGCACTTGGCAGTCAGTATATAGTATTTTGCAAATATCTCACTCAAATTATATCCATTTGAGACAATGTGAATTCTGCCACACCCCTGAGATCGAGGGCTATCTACATGTTAATGCCCAAAAGCATCGAGACCCGACATCAGAAACATCGAAAGCATCAAATTTCCAATGCTGAAATTCACCCGGTATATAGTATTTTGTTCATATCTCACTCAAATCACATCCGTTTTAGATGATCTAAATTCTGACAGGCCCCTGAGAGCGAGGGCTATCTGGGTGTTAATGCCCGAAAGCATCGGGGCACTCGGCACTCGGAACTCGGCACTCGGCACTCGGCACTCGGCACTCGGAACTTGGTTCTCGGCACTTGGCACTTGGTACTCAGCACTTGGTAGTCAGTGTGTGGTATTTTGCATATATCTCACTCAAATTATATCTGTTTCAGACAATCTAAATTTGCCACACCCCTGAGATCGAGGGCTATCTACATGTTAATGCCTGAAACCATCAAGACCCGACATCAAAAACATCGAAAGCATCAAACTTCCAATGCTGAAATTCACCCGATATGTAGTATTTTGCTCATATCTCACTCAAATCACATCTGTTTGAGATGATCTAAATTCTGACGGGCCTCTGAGAGCAAGGGCTATCTGGGCGTTGATACCCGAAAGCATCGGGGCACTCGGCACTCGGAACTCGGAACTCAGCACTCGGCACTCAGCACTTGGGACTCGGCACTCAGCACTTGGGACACATTAAATCACATCTGTTTGAGATGATCTAAATTCTGATGGGCCCCTGAGAGCATGAGCTATCTGGGTGTTAATGCCTGAAAGCATCGGGGCACTCTGCACTTGGCACTTGGCACTTGGTACTCAGCACTCAGTAGTCAATATATTGTATTTTGCATATATCTCACTCAAATTATATCCATTTGAGACAATCTGAATTCTCCCACACCCCTGAGATCGAGGGCTATCTGCATGTCAATGCCTGAAAGCATTGAACTTCTGATGCCAAAATTCACCCGGTATATAGTATTTTGCTCATATCTCACTCAAATCACATCCGTTTGAGATGATCTACATTCTGATGGGCCCCTGAGAGCGAGGGCTATCTGGGTGTTAATACCCGAAAGCATCGGGGCACTTGGCACTCAGAACTCGGAACTTGGAACTCGACACTTAGTGCTCAGCACTCGGTAGTCAGTATATTTTATTTTGCACCTTTCCTGAGTACATGCCCTTAATTTCAGAATGAAGTCAAGATGAAATCCAATGAAGTCCGAAGGACTTCCGGAGGCTGGCTACTCTGGTGGAGTGCTGGAGGACTTCTGGATGAGCACAGGAACCTTCCAGAGGAGTATAGGAACTTCTAGAGAAGTACAGGAAACTCTGGAGGAGTTTCACCTGCTGCATAGGGTCCAAAGATAAGACTTCTGAAGGTAAGCTTCCTAGATGGAAGCACATGGAGGAGAGACTGCAAGGGACAGAGTCCAAAGCAGGATCAGATAGGAGGAGTGGTCCAGAGGACAGGACGTCTGAAGGTTGCGCCATCTGAATGTTCAGATGTCCAAAGGTTAAGATGTCCAAAGGTTATGATGTCTGAAGGTCATGATGTCCAAAGGTTACAATGTCTGAAGGTTTTGATATCCGAAGGGTAAGATGTCCGGAGATCCAAAGGTCCGGAGGTCAGCAGGAGTGGACAGGATTATAGGACAGGAGAATAAAGGCTACCATGGACAAGGTCTGGAGTAGAAGCAAACAGAGGTAGGCTACACTTAGGTGGAGTCGGAGATAACAGGAAGTAGACATAAGTCTTGGAAAGACAGGAAGTGCCAGAAAGGCAAAGGTCCAGCTTAAGGAATCAATCCTTAAGCTTGGATAGAGATGGAAGGACAAATCCAAAGGTTTGGAAGTCCAGCCTAAGGAATCCTTCAGGTTGGACTCAGATCTCGGTACACTTCACTTGATTTTCAATATCTGGGACTCCATAGTCAGAACTTGAGTCTTAAATCTCGGGTGTCGGGTGTCGGGTGTCGGTTGTCGGTTGTCGGTTGTCGGTTGTCGGGTGTCGGGTGTCGGGTGTTGGGTCTCGGTGGTCGGGACTCAATATTTGGGACTCGTTGGTCGGGACTTGATACTCGATTGTTGGGATTCAATGGTCAGGCATTGGGTTTCAGGACTCAAATCTCGGGCTTCGGGACTCGGGTTTCAAGACTCGGTAGTTGGGACTCAATGGTTGATTGTCGGGATTTGATAGTCAGGGCTCAGATATTGGTACACTTCACTTGATTTTCGATAGTTGGAACTTGGCATTTGGCATTTGGTAGGCTTGGATGATGTTGGCTTTCAAAGATCTATTATCATATATTGCTCAATGAAATACCAGACGATCGGAAGTGTGCTGGACATCACATATTCGTTTGTCGAGACCCGGGTCTTGGAACTCGGTACACTTCGCTCGAGTTTCCACTTAACCCCTGTGCAAGGCTCTGTGCCATACTACATCATTAGATGACTTTGAATTATTACCTCCATGATATACAACTAGCTGAGCTCCATCATGTCTACAATTATCATTCTCCTGGGCCCACCCGTTTATATTATACAGTGGCTCAAAAAACTGTCCGTATGTTTTGGCATTTTTCACTATCTATAATATTGTGTGAGAACAAACAAATGCCTCAAAAACATGCTTATACCACATTGTAGTATGGCTTCAGGGCTTTCATTTGAGCCCTACACCGTGGGAATCGGTGGAGATATGGTGGAGATACAAGGCTCACAAAATGGTGACTCATGCGGACAGTTTTTTGACTCAAGTATTTTACAGTAATAACCAGGTATTCTAGTATTTTGTATGACCTCCCTTGGCTTTAATTACTGCCTCTATCCTTCTAGGCATACTCTCAATTAATTTCTGGCAATCCTCAGCTGTGATCTTCCCCCATTCCACTGCTACTCTCTCCCAAAGCTCCCATACTCCTTTAGGGGGGTTTTCATAGGCTTGAAGCTTTTTCTTGAGTGTTCCCCAGAGATGTTCAATGACATTGACATCAGGAGACTGTGCTGGCCAGTCAAGAACATTGATGTTATGTTCTTCAAACCATTCCCTAGCTCTTCTGGATGTGTGCTTGGGATCATTATCCTGTTGGAAAATGATATCTTCTTCATCAATCCCTGATTCTGCCAAGCTAGGCAGCAAGTGGTCATTTAAAATGTCCACATACTGCTCAGCATTCATCTTCCCCTCAACCTCAGCAAGCATTCCCACACCATTCCATCCCATACAGCCCCATACCATTAAAGAACCTCCTCCAAACTTGACAGTCCCATTAACCTCTCTGTCTGTTAGGCCATCTCCCTTCTTTTTCCATACATACACCTTCCCATCTGACCCAATCCTATTGATTTTGGTCTCATCTGACCATATAACATGCTTCCAGTCCTCTACAGTCCAGTGTTGATGAGCTAAGGCAAAGGCTAGTCTTCTCTGCCTATGTTTGATGGAGAGAAGAGGCTTTTTCTTCTTTGTTACTGCCTTGAGATGAGCTGCCTTGAGAACATTCCTCACAGTTTGTGAAGAGACAGGGGTAGTGATGGTGGAATTGATATAATGGGTGGCTTGGACAGCATTATCAGCCTTTCCTGTAGTGATATGTTGGATAATAGCCCTTTTGTCAGTAGAGGTAAGCTTGGATGGACGTCCTCCACAAGAGTTTTCCTTGTCTGGGTGGCTTTCTTTGATGAACTTGGCCACAGTGGACTTGCATATTCCAGTTCTAGAGGAAATTTGGCGAGCAGAGAGGCCAGCATAAGACAGAGAGAGGATATTATCTCTTTGAGCAGAGGAGATGGCTTTCATGGTGATTATGACTATGATACATGAGATATTCTGGTTTATATAGTTAGATATAGTCATAAAATAACATAATGACACCACTTTATAATTTATATAATAGTGGCATGATTTTTATGGTGTCATAAATAATGATTTATATAGTTTTAATATACACTCAAAAAACTGTCCACATGAGTCATCATTTTATAAGCCTTATATCTCCACCATATCTCCGCCGATTCCCACGGTGTAGGGCTCAAATAAAAGCCCTGAAGCCATACTACAATGTGGTATAAGTATGTCCTTGAGGAATTTGTTCATTCTCACACAATATCATAGATAGTGAAAAATGTCAAAACATGCGGACAGTTTTTGAGCCACTGTATACCCCTATGTCGGCCTACCCGTCTATGCAATATATGTCTACCATTGGCCCACCCGTATATAATAAATCTTTCACCGCTCCCTCGGCCCACTCGTCTACAAAATAATACCAATACGTCGGCCCACCTGTCTACAAAATAATATTAATTTGTCGGCCCACCTGTCCAATATGATATATATCTGGGCCCACCTGTCTATGTGATAACAAGCACCCTTGATATACCCGGCTATTTGATACATATCTACCTTGGTACACCCATCTACATAATATCCAACTACCTCGGCCAATCCGTCTATTGAAAATTCATGTCCATCGGCCCACCCATCTACTTTACATATTCCCCACCTGGGCCAACCCGTCTCCATCGGGAATAATAACACTCCCGGCCCATCCGTCACAGTCGAGGATATATCTACCTTTGGCCCATGGTCCGCTGGCCCGTATCATATGGGATATTATGCACGTCCATTCACTCGTATAATATGGAGATATGTTACTGCAATATGTGGGGAGTCGGGGATTTGCTTTTGTTTGTTTGTGTCATGTGTGCAAGCGACATGCTCACCCACCCCCATGATGTCCTACTCCTCCACCTCTTCAACATTCAACGTTCAACACCCAGTTCCGACTCACCTGGCCTTTATACCAGAACCACCTTCAATGCCAGTCTCACCTCAAGATTACCAACATTTTATTAGCTCACTACCATTAAACCAACAATATGCCACACGCACTCAATACCATCCTCCATTTCCACTAATCTTGAGTCCTCAACTCCAACACATTCCCGACTTTTGGAGCATGAATGACACTACCGCTCAGTTCTCGATGCATTTAGGTCAAACAGCTGTTGCTGTGGGGCATGACTATGTCCACAAAAATGTACATGCTCTAAATTTCTCTTTACTCTGCTTGCTCACCATGACTAGTTTGCCAGTATAATATCAGTCAATGTCCTAAAACACCACTTCAATGTCTCAAACTCCTATGTAATGTACAAACTCCGGCTCCTCATATTTCCTTGGCACCACAAACCTTGGACACAAAAAGTCCGTCGCACAGAGGCTGGTCACACAGAGTGGCAACCTCCTTGCGATGATATTAACAGTACAGACCTTTACATACCCCATGCGTTTTTTTTCAATCCTCCATCCCCTCTCATTTGTTATGCAGTCATGGCACTTGTCACCTACATTCTCGTAGCAGTGCTACAGACCGGTATTCAAGAACGATTCCACCCCGGAATCGCACAAGTGCAACACGCACTCTCGTCATCATCCTAATCGACTTTCTCTTCGTCCAATGTGGCTGCTACCTTCTCAATGTCCAAGGCACGGGTCAAGTAGTGGATTTGATTGCTTATGGCAAATACAAGTTTGTTGGGTGAGTCCGCCCATTGCACCCTTTTCATTTTGTTGCTCACTCGAGCACACTCTCATATTTGTCTATGCATTTGCTGCAAACACCTTATTCATAGTATGTCCCATCCATGTAACATACATATTGCTCACTACTTACACTCACACTCGCACTTGTGTAGCTCTGCTCCCTTCGCTTAGTGGTCCTTCCCGACTCGCCCGTCAATGTAGGCACTGTCAACCTCACATCTAGAAAACACTGCATCACGTTCTTATTCCTGAGGGTTGTTTTGCAGGTTATCTATATGGGTATTTTGGTAAGACTTTGAATACTTGGTGTGCTCTCGAGTCGTCGCACTATGGTAATATAGACTGCTATATATGCTCCTGCTGTGAGCGCTGAGTTCATTGGGAGATTGTATCTTTCTGAATCACATATCCTCTCCACAAACACCCCATGTGTCCTCAATTTTCTTATCTGCCTTCAAATCCCATTGCCGAGTGGTCTTGGCCCAAGATCCACTGATAATTTGCTGGTCATCTGCCAGTGTTGCTATCATGACCCCTCCAAGGTCATCATCATTGATTTCATGGAGGCTGCCTTCATTGGTGTAGAAGCCATGACTGTCTCTGTGAGCGAAGTATTCCAGTAAGAGGCAAATGTTCTCTGTGGTGAGCTCCCCTCGTATGAAAGCCCTGTAGGCCTGACATTGACAGTTGTTTGAACTTTCATCCAATGGTGCTGTGTCCAGACCGATCATCAGTTTGTCCGCCTGGGAAATCCAAATTGAGAGTTGATGTTACCAAGAGCCTAGCAATGATAAAGAGGGAAAATTTCTGCGGTGTAGTCATCCTTGCAAGGTGTGCTATTCGCTTCTCGACTTCGCCATGACCGAAGTTCCTGTGCTAGAGTGTTGATCGTCAATATTTCCCACCTGTCGATGTTGCTGTGTGCTTGTGAGTGGCTTATCTGGATGGCTCAAAGTGTTTTATATGCTGTAGCATTCACCCTTCAGCATTTACATCTAAGCTTCATTGCGGTTTTGCTTTGGAACACCAGCGGGCACGTGAACAATGGCCACTGAATATTACACAGTGATCATGCTCCCTCATGCCATTGGCCTATCCTCTCAACTGCTGGAGCAGGGGCCAGCAGCCCAAGTCAAGAGTGCACAGTCCCTGCCTGTGTGACCCTGGTTCACCAGCTCTGGAATACACACACATCCTTTCTCAAACTAACTGGCACAACCTTCAAGAGGTGCGTGAGGAGGATGTTCAGGGCCTCGCTGTATGATTACTGAAACTCGCAGTCCCAGTTGGCCTACCAAGGGATCTATATCAAATGTCCACATCTCACCTGCATACTACCATCATTCAATATCCAACGTTCAACCTCCCATTCTTGACTCACGCCAGCTGGTTTATGTGTGTCTATCATCATGCTTTTCATGCCTTGTTGGTGCACAGACATGGACAGTACCTATTTATGCTACAAGGCGGCCACATCATATATCCCAGCTAGTACATTAGCTGCAGATAGCATCTGCCCTCCAACTACATTATCTGCTGGCTCAGAACTCATCGAAGAGGTTAATCCTGTGCTTAACATTGCCAACCGAGCTAAAACGTGCACTCGGAAGACTCAGGTCAAGAACCCGACTTGTGTGCCTGTCAACCATGATGTGATAGAGTTAACATTCGACTCCGACCTCGATGAACTATCCCCCAAGCCCCCATCAAGCGAAATCCGAAACACAAGCCTCAACTAGGATGTCACCTTCACCCAAGGTCACTGAACAAAGCATTGTCAATACTCAGCTGAACGATGACATTGTTCTTCCTGCACCGCAAGAGCAGTCGAGTCAACAGACACATGCTTTTGCCAAGGCCTCATTTCGTGCCAACTTATCCAACATAGACCATCTAGCCACTCAAGAATAGAACACCACTGCACATCATTGTGCTCCTTATCCTGTTCCTGATGTCGCTGTGGTGAAAGAAATAGTAGTCAACTAGCTATACCAACAAACCTACTAAATCCAAATGGGTGCGAGTGCAGTACATCGACCCAAGGGGACTGCTATTGAAGCACTTCCTTCTAATAGTGCGAGGGAAGAGAAAGGAAGGAGTTAAGATCTAAGACCTGAGATGTTCTGACTGACCAAAGGTCCGAGTCTGAGAATGTCCGATGCAACGCGGGATACTGACGGTACACCCGATGTGAGAAACCGATGATGGACACCAATGCGAGAAACCGATGATGAACACTGACATGAGTAGAGGAGTCCGATGCCAATGGGAGCAGCAGGTAAGGCTAGGCCAAGGTAAAGAAAGTCTAGGTATAACTAGGTATAGCGAGGTAAAACTAGGTATGGGTTGCTGAGTCTAGACTTGTGGTAGCGGTCCGAGTCTATACAAGGCCTAGGTATAGAAACCTTAGAGAGCATGCACTTAGAGCGGTTAAGGCACGTCCGAGATGAAAAGCAAAAAGGGATCAATTGCACAATCAAGACTAACTAAGGTAACTCCTACAATGGTAGCAGGTATGTCCAGAGAAGGGAAGTAAGAGATAATACGAAACTTGAGTCCTATTTATCTAACTGCATGAACATCTGGAATTGCACAGGCGAGAGTAGTAATGAAACGCAGGGTATTTGGGTCAATATGTAATAAGGCTTGCGGGAATACATGTAATAACACCTGCTGTTCATTCAGTAATGGTAAAATACACAACATCATGGTAGCTTAATGCATTATGCAGTGTAATTACAAGAAACACATTGTGCATTAACAAGTGTAGCTACAAGATGCAGGTAAATGCATTAATCGAATGTAATCACAAGACACTGGGGCTAAGCAGCGTAATGCATCACACAGTGCACACTACCCGCCGCGTGCTTTACATAATGTGACAAGTTGCATGAAGTTGATGTTTTCTGTGATTCACGAACAATTCTACACTATAGCAAATCACTCAATTCTATTGACATGTCAACAAGCACTTGATAACTAACTAATTAACAGGGAGGAGGGGGGGTCAGAAGTAATTGACAGATGTGCCATCCACATCTTCTCAAAACAGTCGGCGATAGTGTGCCTAAGTTGAGCCTGGTGATACACATAGGCAACCAGACCCTCGTGTTCAGCAGCAGCAGCATTAAGTGTACATTCATGGCCTTTCTCATGCCACCATGCCGCATGCCACCTAAGGAATTGGAGGACCCTACACATCTCCTCATCAAGCAGTTTGACTTCTTCTGCCCATCGCATAGATCATGCCCGAGCCTTACACCATTCAACCCTAAGACCTGTAAACTGTGTCAGTATCCCAGTCAATCATACATTCATGGAAAGCTTACTGTCTTGTATCACCTCATCCTGATCGTCTCCGACTCCTTCCACTAGCCAGATCCATGACAACTGCCTTCTCCCTTCGCTTACACCTGTCTTCGCCACTGACATGCCTGTGTATGTCATTTGTCTTGTCGAGTTCCTTGTACTTGAGATTCCAGCCGACCTTTCAGAGTGGGGGAGTGAGTGCAGATAATGCTCCATGAGCAGCATGATACTTGTTAGCTGCAGCTGACACCTTCGCATCCACTCAAGTCAAAGCATTTAGAGCGCGAGTGTTTGCACTCTGACCACGCACCCAGTCTCTCTTAAACGTGCACATATAGTCATGTAGGTGGAGGCTCTGCCTTAGCTCCTCCAGTGCATCCCCAGCCTGAGTGAAACGGAGCTCCCATTCAGTAACCTGAATATGAGTATTGCAATGCATAGATTTAGTGCATATAGCTGATGGCAAGTAGAGTTTTGTGTCGTCTGGTGTGATGAGGTCCAGGGAAGATTGGAATGAATATGAGTATAACAGTTGGACTGCAGGGGTATAGAGGGCTTGGACATGCCTCCATGCACCAATTTTGTGCTGCAGAGAGTTCTGCTGATGCTGTATAGCAGCTTTCTTAGTGTCCGTGGCATGCAAGCCAAGCTGGGCAATATCTGCCTTCAGATGACACCTTAAAATGAATAAGTGAGGCATCCAGATTATAATCAATAAACTACATACTATTCACCTTTGATATCAATGCCTGATGCAATAAACACGCTGGGTGAGATGTCAGGGTGGAGAGATAGGTTGACACCTTGCTGTAGATCATGAGCCTTGCCTCGGGCTGCAATGCGCCATCTAGCTCCTTGAAAGTTATTCTATGAGCTTCTTTCTCCTCATGAGCCTCGCCCATCTTTCGGAGTAGTGTTGTGCAAATACGTAGTTTGGCATTTGAAAATGTGCGCCAGCAGATGGAATTTGGGGACAAAAATCTGGCAATGAATAAGTGAGCAAAGGCACGAGAAACTGGCAATTCGATTGTAAAAACCTGATGAGTTTAGTAAGAGGGTCCAGATGGAGGCTTGGAGGCATCGTAGACATGCATTCCCAAAGGTTTTTGTGCCACTGGCAGGCGATATCATATGAGACATTGAGCATTTCGGACACAGTGTCCACAGAGGGTTGACAGAAACAGATAATCCATATTACTGTATCTATGTGCAGTCAGTATGGATGGTTGCTTGCCAGTTAGTATAACTCACCTTTCACCCTTCTGCAAGTCTCCGACACCATTGGGCAACTTCACATTGTGCTGTGCACAATCTATCGTCCCCACTTCAGTTGCAGCAAGTCCCTGAGACACTTTTGTATTGGCCATATTGACTGCGTTATGTGATGCGCAGGTACTTTTCTGCTAAAGCAGTCAGAGTGAATCACAATGAGTCATTGAATGGCTTACCTCCTGTGGCTTACCAGCATGACCTTGCAAGTATACCTTATATGCCATCTCATCTACAAAGTATGCCCATCCGTGACTGAGCACAGGGTCTGTAGTATCTTTAGACACAATACATCTCTTGAGACGGAAGTTTGTGTTGATAGCTGCGAAGAGAGCATATAGCCACCAAGGGATTGTGAAGCATGAACAAATAATCTACGTATGAGCATGATACACACCTCTTGTCATTCAGAACATCTTTCCAGTTGTCTGGAAGGTTTTCAAGAGGCTGAGGGCAAGTGGGACATAAAACAGCGCATTCGCCGCTTTGCATATTCACCACACTAGCTGGATCATGTCCTCGGCCTGCTCGTTTGAGCATCTTGAGGTGACGCCATTCATGGACCATCTGTAAGAAAGGCTCATAACGATCCTGATGCCATAGGTGATGAGACACATACAATAAGGCAGAAAATCAGATAACTCACCTTTTGAACTTGAAGTCCAGTGTTATCAGTCAGATGCACAATTGAGTGATAAAACTCATATCCAGAAGGCTTTAACTCAAATGACAGAAGGTGATATTGCTCGAGGATGTGGAAGGTTGCTGCAGTGCGTGGATCGACGGTTGTAGCTAGAAACCAGGTGGCACGTAGTAATTGCTTTGTCTGTGTTTGAGCAGTTTCACAACCACAAAAATCCAGTCCGATGGTGTGAATACTGTTAGTATCGATGAGGGTGAAATCATCATTGAAAGCTCACTTAGGTAACAAACACGAATCTCCAGCAAAGTGTCCAAGTTGCACATGTAGGCCTAGGTCCTTTAGCGATACTGCCATAAAACAAGAGTTTGACAACTCCTAACCCAACATTGAATATGAGTGTGCAGTCCCAATATTGTATGAATCAACTCACCTGAATGCGATGCACTGGATTCTGGGTGTGTAAGGTGACAATGCAACCCTTACAATACAACTCTGTACCCAAGCAATCAATACACCAAAATTGAGGGACATCAAGACGGCACGGTGGCACCAGCATAATCACTTCTACCCTCATGCCAAAGGAGCTCAAGTAAGAATATATCCCAATCATTCATCCATAATAAAAGCGGGTGGTCCTGAAGGACAAGTGAGAAGGGCTTATCACTAGTAGGTACAAAAGGAGACCTACACCAGCTGTGCATTTCCATTTAGTTTTATTGTCGCCCTCCACATGCTCCCTGTCGTGGACATTACATGCATCATAACCAAATTGCTCATCAAAAACTTCATCGATCATTGTTGCACTAGCTTCAGTTCCAACATGAAGTTCGGTGATCTGAGAGCTGGTAACACAAGAGCTGTGTGCCTGGAAGCCTTGACTGTGTGATATAAATGTGTATGTTTGGTGAACACTAGGAGAATTTGGGTTGGGTGGGGTGTATACATTAAGCTTGGCTCGCTTCCGGCGCTTGACATTGTTGAATGAAACTACATGTCGGGGATGGACAGTGTGCATGACTTCTGCATCATTACAAGGACACATACTCACCAAGATTCAATGTAAGATCATACAGTAGTACCATACAGGCACAATTCAGATGTGTTGGTAAGAGTCAGGTGAAAGTATTAGTAATTGAGTAATGCATTACATGCTCAAGTGCTCGATGTGCGGCAGCCTTATAAATCAGCCTGCTGGTTACCATTCTTATCACTTATGTCTTCCCACCAAATTCACTCCTGATGTCTGAACCTGGCTCATCTACAGGCCCGAGTCCAGTCCTATACTTGGAAAAATCTCCACCACCTGATCCTGGATACTGCCTTTGCGAGTGCTGTACACTTCCAAGTGCCTCTCCTCCAAACTCTCCCTCAGAGTGAAGCCCCAGTTTTTTCAGCAGGTTGAAGTGTTGAAGGTGGTCAGACACTGGTTGGCCCAGGAGTTGGGTCTGAGCCTCATGCGCAATGTAAGTAGCTCTCTTAACACCTCTGCAGAAAATAATTGCCCACCAGGTGGTCCTGCACTCTCTATTGTGCATGCTGTGTCCATTGTAGTTTATGAGTAGTTCTCTCAACACCTCTACCAAAACTGATCTCCACCAGGTGGTCCTGCAGTCTCTGACATGTACAATGCACCAGTCACACTTGGTGAGTAGCTCTCCTAACACATCTCTGCAGACACTGATCTGCCACTAGGCAGCCCTGCACTCTCTGCCATGCACACTGCACTGGTCACACTTGGTCCATGCGTAATTCTGCCAACACCCTCATCGCCACCTAATCCATCCCTCAGGAATTTTACCAGTGCACTGTTTCGGCTACCCGAAATACTGCCTTTCACCCTCACACCATACTTTGCTGGAGAGGTAGACGCTGATGTCAGGTGGGCACAACATGATGAAGCCCTATATACAGAGATTATTGATGCAATGGCTGATAATTGCTTTGTCTACCTCTACCACGGTATGCTTTACAACATGCCTGCTGTGGCTGCAGCATCCAGACCTTATTATTGTGTCACCCGCGGGCGATATATTGGTGTTTTTAACAATTGGTAAGTCAGTTCTGCCCCTCATTACACACACTTACTGATGACTTGTATCTATGGATGAAGTCACAGAAAGCATCACAGGCTTTTCTGATGTGGTATATGCCATTACTTCACTTGTTGTTGGTGAAGTTCTTCTTCGTACTGCCATTCATAAGGGCGAAGTACATAAATGTCGACTCAGAGCTCCCTGAATTTATCATACAACTAGTTCATCGCATGCATTTACCGTTGTGTGTGATTTCACTTTTTTTTTGGCTCCTACAGGCACTCGTAAGGTTCTCTTTAATGCCACTCGAGTGAAAAGGAGATGGATAAAAATAAACTATTGTAACTAGTAGTTAAGAGGGAGGGGGAGTATCCGTACACTATGTTCATTTCCCAGCCTTTCGGCTATTAGTAAATGTAATTGAATGAGCCGTCCTGAAAGAAACTCACTGAGATTATGACTGCCCTGTCAATGAGTGGTGCCGTGTCTCATGCAGAGACAATGTCAAGGCATCCTAAACTTGCACAGTGTAATGTAGATAGTGTTGAACACAGTATAAATCTCTTCCCTGGCCTAAAGGAGAGGCAGTTGTGACAAGTATCAGCGAAGGGTTCGACCCAGAGTCACCAATGTGTCTGTCTCATCTTGAAAGAATCACTGATGTAAAAAGATATAACAAACGTCTTTACCTTTCCACATTGGCGTTATCTTCCTGAACACGAAGATCAATAACACGATCTTTGGCTTAAGCATGCGATAGATGAGATTGGGGAACAACTAAAACAAGTGAGCTTGCTGACCTAGATAAATAACACGACCATTGGCTTGAGCATATGATAGATGAGATTGGAGAACAATGAGTGAGCTTGCTGACCTAGATCAATAATACGACCTTCGGCTTGAGCATGCAATAGATGAGATTGGGGAACAACTAACATGAGCAAGCTTACCGACATAGCCAGCTGAACATGAAGATCAATAAAACGACCTTAGGCTTAAGCATGCAATAGATGAGATTGGGGAACAATTAAAACAAGTGAGCTTGCTGACCTAGATCAATAACACTACCTTTGGCTTGAGCATGTGATAGATGAGATTGGGATGCAACCAACATGAGTGAGCTTGCTGACCTAGCCAGCTGAACACAAAGATCAATAACATGGCCTTCGGCTTGAGTATGCAATAGATAAGATTGGAGAACAACTAACATGAGTGAGCTTGCTGACCTAGATCAAATCAATAACATGACCTTCGGCTTGAGCATGCGATAGATGAGATTGGGGAACAACCGACATGAGTGAGCTTGCTGACGTAGCCATCTCTGCATCCCTTGACCCCTCCATGCGCATCCTCATAACAAAGCCCTGTGAACCATATCTATAATGAACTTTCAAGCCATGCCTACATTCCTAGATGTTCTACCTGCTGAAGAATGTGATGCCTGGATTGGTAGATGTTCAAAACACCACGCAGGGTAAGAATTACCTTGTACATGCGCCTCTGACTAGTTCAGGTCTATATGACAGGAGCACTGATGTTATATCTGAGCTGGACATTGTTGGGTATGATTATTTGGAGAGGCGGTGGAGAGGGAGGTGGGACGGCTTCGAATTGTAAGGATCAACGAGATAGAGAGTAATAAGGGTTCAACAGCTTACTCTAGCCATGGTGAGTTAAAAATGTTGCATTCATTGGGCTGCACAACAAACAGGATGCTCACACTGGATCTATGTGAGTGTGGATATGTACTTGAAATGAATGACAATTCAAGTATTTAGGGCTCAGCCAAGTTACCACTTCAGGACGACATAGTTCTTACTACACCCAGCCTATCACTACTGACTCATAGATTCAATATTCAAATATTCAGTGCTTGGTGCTTGCTCTTGCAACTTTTAGGCATGTACCACGATCTGCAACCATAATTCAACTATGCGGGCAGGACAGATGGGCCAGTGTTCACCTTGACTCATGTGTGACTGTCCATCAACATTTAGTACTACTGGGTCATTCTCGTATCATTCATAGCTCATGCTTCTCAAACTTTGAATAGACCATTGCTGATGCTATCCAAACAGCTTCCTGCAGGAAAGAATCTTATTGAACTCAGTCGTACTCAAGATGAAGAATGTGGTGTCAGTATGACCAGCATTATCATCCTCAATGTATTCCCAAGCTCCGAAAACATGTCGTTTTCTCATCATCCTATCATGATCATCTAGCTGGAGAAATTCTCACTCAATCCCTCTTGCAGCTCAAACACAACATCCTCCCTGTTATCATCATTTCCGCCTATAACAAAGCTCTCAAATAAGTGTAAGTCACATCTCCATCCCGATTCACATGTCTTCTTCTGACAAAATTGAAAATACACTCTCATTTAAACTTCTATCGGCACAAAATTTGGGGCACACTGGAACAACTTAATGTGTCATCTAGCCATTCAAGCTCAGCACACTGTTACCTGGGATGATGCTGGGGACAGGAGTGTTGACATCAAGCACTGTGCAGAGTACAGATGTTTGCTCAAAGTCAAGCCCGATGAGGGCGAGGAATGATAGCTGAATGCTAAGGGGGAAGAGTGGGAAGTGGGCTCTCAAGTACTCCTCTGGATATGAGCGAAAAGTCATCCCAAGGGGATTGCTACTGAGAATGATTCCTCTAATAAGGGTGAGGGAGATCAATGACTAGTGCTTCAGGTCTAGAAGCCTATGTGGGACACTGGTGCAGATAATGCACCCAAAAGCGAAAGGTGCTAATGAAAGGCGCCTAAAATGTGCTAGTAGAGCGGAAAATGCGGAAAAGTGCGTTTTGCATGACCTCAACGGAGTGCTTCAAGTCGAGATGGCAATCAATTAGAGAACCAAGAGGGATGATAGACATGGCAATAGACGCTTAGGGGTGCAAAAGTGCCAACAGGAGGGAAACTTGTGAATTTCGATGGTAACTCGTGCTATACACTTGGATGGTAGTGGAATGGAAGTAAGTAACAGAAAAATGAACATGCTGACGTGTAAGTATGCTAAGTGAGTTCCCAGGCCTCAGAACTGAGTAGGGAGCACTAAGGTATATGATGAGGTAAGTCAGGGTCCATAATGAAACATAGTAATAAGTACAAGTGCCTGTGTGACAGTATATGAGTTCTAGTGAAAAGAGCACGCACCAATGGACCTTGGAGGACTAGGACAGGACATGCGGAGGACGGGCGACAGATCCTAGGGAAGTGCGATGAAGTGCGATGTAATGCACTCAAATGCGCTGGTACGTGCCAAAGCGCATGTGTGCGTAATCAGGAAAGTGTGAATGAGCAATAGCGAGGGTCCATCAATGCGAGGATGCAAGAAGGCAAAGCACTATAAAGGCAACTGCATAGGATGTGACAACACAAAAGGCAAAATGTGATTGTACCAAATGCAAAAAATGCAACAAATGCAACAAAACGCAAAACACTGGGGCACACTAAAGGTGACAAACTGCAACAGGTCAAATGCGCTAAGGCAAAATGTGACAAACATGAAACACGAACAAAAGCGCATTATTACAGATGCGCAACTGCAGGAATGTGAATGCGTGAAATGTGAAGCGCATATGTGTGGAAATGCGCCAAATATGAAATGCAAAACGCGCTAAATGTGAAACGCGAAAGCGCATATGTCGCGTTTGGGGCACGTTGCAAAAGTAGTGAGCGCATCATGAAGGGAAAGTGGACTGTACCCATATGCACCTGTGGAGACTCCAGTCTCTACACCGATCTTATCATCTCCGAGGAAGGCATGTCTGGTAGGTGATCTGCACAAGCTACTGATATCTTCTCTCTTGCACATTATCAAGAACATTCCAATTCCAAGGTGAGTTCCTGAGTCAACCGCGCATTTTCCCAGCATCCACTGACGAGCCTGATAGAACCAAGTATGTTGATAGGGAGATCAAATTTGTGCTTGAGAATCTCGACATCTCATCATTAAGCTTACTTCCTGGGCACGCCTATATCCACAATATCACTGACATCGACATCACCGCTCCTGCCGGGTCGCAGTCAACCACCACTGCCATTGGCACACTCATGCACATCCAGATGCTCACTGGGAGTAGACAATCAGGCCACCATACGAGCCACTGGGGCCTTCCATTCACAGCCAGGACACCACCTAATGGACACCTTTCATGACGACCTATGCATACTCATCCTAGACAATGATGAAAGGAAGCTCATCATAAGGTGGTCGCCGGGCCACAAAGGGATACCGGGAAACAAAGCCACAGATGGAGAGGTGAAAGATGCAGCCAGAGGGAACTCATCAGAGAGCCACTGCACTACCACGCTCACTGTTAACAAGCCATGGGGAAATCAGAGGACTACCACAGAGCATATCAGCAATAAAGCAAATACAATATCGCAGAATCAAAGACAAGGCCATAAAGATCGCGAAGGACTCACTCACCCAGATTCACCACGCTCCACACCATAGACCACTCCGCCCCCTCTAACAAATTCGCCACAAAAATTGCATCTCTGCCAAGGAGACACAGCTCCCTCCCGTTCCAGCTTCACACGGGCCACATCACACTCAACAAACACCTGCATCATATATCAAGGAACCCATCAGCAAAGTGTGACAGCTGCAACATGCACAAAGAGACAGTCCACCACTTCCTATTCACATGCCCATCATTCACCAGACAGTGCAACACCATGCGACACGAAGTAGGCCCACAAAAGTGCAATATCAAATATCTGCTCAACGAGTACAAAGGGATGAGATCAGTACTGAAGTACATCGCACGCACAAAACACTTCGAACACACCTTTGGCGACGTGACCCCCCCGAAGGAAGAAGAGCAGAGGAGAACGTAGAAGAAACCAGGCCAAGAAACCCACCAACTCCACATCACTCGTCCCATAGCCTCCAGAAAGGCTCTACTGTTCCCGCTCACGCCCGAACCATTGTTAAGAATGGACACCAAATAAGATAATTAGTTCACACACCACATACGCACATACATGTAGGTTATGTCCAACATAGGGCTTCGCCCCAACGGACAATAAACAATAAACAAAAAAAAAAAAAAAAAACCTGAGCAGTCCAGCTCATGCTCAAGGAGGTCTCATTCTTCTACAGGGATAAGGTTGCTACCATCAGGCCCAAGGACTTCACAGGTCTCATGGAGTGCAGTCTCCCACAAAAGGGCATCAACATCAATCTTGAGTTCTGCTTGATCCCAAATACGCCCCAAGGTCTCATGGAACGCGAGAGTCTCGGACAGTTCTTCAAGATCGAACACATTGAGGTGAATGTGGCAAAAGATATTGACATGCAAGTTAAGCAGTCCAACCACCCCATCCTTGCTGTCCATCTTCTTGGCTGTCATCATGCTTTACTTCTACAAGGCGATTTCACACACCCTGGAGGAGCAGATCCGTGGATTGGACTTCAGCAACACTACCTGGTAGCTGGTCAATGCTTACCCTATCGGGATCTGGAGGAGGAAGTCTCATAGTCTATAGGAAATGTATATTAGTTTTGGTGTAGAGACTCGCGTTTCTGCAGGCACATATGGGCACATTTTGCACCTTTTCACAACTCATGACAATTGGCCTTCAATGCACGACTCGCACCATCAGCTATATTCGACTTCTATCATGTCCCTAGTCGTTTTACACTGTAATGCGCAGCTTTCCTGCGAAATGCGTCCATAGGCGTGACACATTCCCCAATGTGCAGTATTCCGCACACGCGCCTTGCGCGCTTTCTTGTGCTTAAGCACCCTGCATCACCTATCATCCAGGAATGTCCCTCTATGTCCACCCACCTCATTGGTACGTCATATGCCTTGCCTCGTGGTTTGTAACAAGCATTGCAGCGCTATTACATGTCATTACGTATTCATAGCGCTTATTGCTCCTATCCCTTCCGCTTCCGATGCGATTTCCATAGTATAAAGTTTGCTGACTTACTACTCCATCATTATTACTCTCCTTTGCTGTACTTCCCTTGCTATTGGGTTTTACTCTAAAGTAGTAGTCACCACTTGGGCACACTTTGTGTTTCCAATGGTTATTCGTTATCCGCCTATACTAGACCTTTATCTGCACTCATTATAACACTCACTCTGCATTTGCACTCGCTTTGCACATCCGCTTCCTTATCCGTTTCCTTATCCGGTATTTTCCGCACAACGCGCGCCTTAGCGCTCACGTTCCCACACTCGCACTTACCTTAGTGCGCTCTCTCGCTGCTTCGTGCTCACTTCGCTTTTCCTTCTCACGCTTTCGCGCATCCATCGCACTACAAGGGTCTTTCTTTCATCTGGTTCTGTGTTCAGTAGCAGTCCCCTTTAGGGTCGAACGTTCTTGCATTCTGCAAGTATAGCAGCTAGGCAGAGCCAAGACTCACTTATACTGGTTGAGCATTTTTAGATATTTCATATCAGCCCAGCCAGGTTGAGATCGCCTCAGCGTGAGTATCGTAATTCATTGTCTAGCGGAAGTTCAACAACAGCCTAGGCTTTGGGCTTGAGTGGGCTAATAGGCTTGTCAAACTAAATGGATTAGGTTCAGCCGTACAATGGCCTGGCCTGGCCTGGGCTGACTGAGCCGATGAGGTGATCTCAACCTGGCTGGGCTGATATGAAATATCTAAAAATGCTCAACCAGTATAAGTGAGTCTTGGCTCTGCCTAGCTGCTATACTTGCAGAATGCAAGAACGTTCGACCCTAAAGGGGACTGCTACTGAACACAGAACCAGATGAAAGAAAGACCCTTGTAGTGCGATGGATGCGCGAAAGCGTGAGAAGGAAAAGCGAAGTGAGCACGAAGCACGAGAGAGCGCACTAAGGTAAGTGCGAGTGTGGGAACGTGAGCGCTAAGGCGCGCGTTGTGCGGAAAATACCGGATAAGGAAACGGATAAGGAAGCGGATGTGCAAAGCGAGTGCAAATGCAGAGTGAGTGTTATAATGAGTGCAGATAAAGGTCTAGTATAGGCGGATAACGATAACCATTGGAAACACAAAGTGTGCCCAAGTGGTGACTACTACTTTAGAGTAAAACCCAATAGCAAGGGAAGTACAGCAAAGGAGAGTAATAATGATGGAGTAGTAAGTCAGCAAACTTTATACTATGGAAATCGCATCGGAAGCGGAAGGGATAGGAGCAATAAGCGCTATGAATACGTAATGACATGTAATAGCGCTGCAATGCTTGTTACAAACCACGAGGCAAGGCATATGACGTACCAATGAGGTGGGTGGACATAGAGGGACATTCCTGGATGATAGGTGATGCAGGGTGCTTAAGCACAAGAAAGCGCGCAAAGCGCGTGTGCGGGAATGTGTCACGCCTATGGCGCATTTCGCAGGAAAGCTGCGCATTACATGTAAAACGACTAGGGACATGATAGAAGTCGAATATAGCTGATGGTGCGAGTCGTGCATTGAAGGCCAATTGTCATGAGTTGTGAAAAGGTGCAAAATGTGCCCATATGTGCCTGCAGAAACGCGAGTCTCTACAGCACATTCACTCATTCATTGGTAACTATAGCTAAGCTGGGTTCATCCTTATTAAAACTGCATGAGCAACAGACTGGAAAATAGGCAGTGGTTCACTTGGTAGTAGAGCTCGGACATCATTGTTTCATAAGTGCGGAAATAGTCTACTTGCCACTGAGAGTTGCCATCCAGTGAAATATCTTTGGTTGGTGCGTGCCAACTCTGAGTTGGACCCCCTCCAGCTTGATTAAACATTAACTCCTGCAATCTGCACTGATGGCCACCAAATAGTGAATAGAACAACCGAGCCGAGGGCTGGCTTTTAAGAACATTGATTTCTGTGGATTTATCTCCACCTTCCCACTGACTCCAGGACCATCATCTCCTACATTCACCTCATCTACTTGACAATGCAAGGTCATCGTGGGCCAAAGCCATGGGCTACTGCAGAACAAGAAAAATTCCTGTTAAGTCTACTCAGCGAATATATCATTTGTCAAAAGGCAAAAGTATACATGGTATTCTTTCTCGACATGTGGGTGGCATTTGAGGCGCAATGGCCAGAGCACCAACACGCTATAATGGGTGTCCCTTTGGAGGGCAACCTCACAGAGGTCCAGACAAAAATACTAACTAAGGCTAAGAGTAGTCGTAAAACAGTAAGTATTCAATGCGTAAAATTTGGTTATACCATACTAACCTGCGAGACCTTATAGCAGATCAAAGTGTGGTATAGATGGCAGACTAATGTCGCATGTCTTGCATGAGTAGCAGGCTTAAAAGGGGCGCTTGACCTCAGCGAAACTCTGAATGGAGGAGATGAGGTATCAGGACAAGCTCCACAAGAAGTGGAAGTATACTCACAGATTCTCTACAATGAGCGCATGAAGGAGGAAGCAGATGCGGCAATCAAGGCCAAGGGTATCACAACACATGGCCAAAAGCTTGCAAAATGGAAGGACCTCACTTGCACTAAATATGCAGCTGAAGATGATAGCATCAAGGCTGAGGTCCAAGAAAGGCACCAAGAAAGCCCTTGTGAACCGGAAAAAAAACATGTGAACTAGCTAAAGCTGGTTTCATTCCGGAAGTTGAACAAGAGGAGCAGATTAAGTATGTCCTACTTCATATAAAATAACTTGTTTTTACCTATATATGCAGAGCCTTCAGTGAACTTGGGGCGCATCTTGATTGCATCTTCCGCCACTTGTCCCATAAGACGGGTGGACTTAAGTTCACATGTATCGCGTGGGGACGAAACCCAGCCACAGGAGGCATTGTAGTTCTTGAGTAAGTATTGAATTTCCCACATGCCTGAAACTATTAACTCACTGGATAATGCAGCTACCATCTCAGAGAGACGGAGATGGGGGACGAGTTTTCGGCTGAATATACTGGGTTCAGCGAAGTCCAAACAGCCTATGCAAGCTTCGTCGAATTGGCACTATGTAAGCATCTATCAATTATTACTTGATGGCAATGTCATTTACCTTGTTCAATCAACCCATGACAATAAGATGGTGGCTTCAGCACTGGATGCAGGTACCATTGCAGATGAGTTGGCCAACGAGTTGGACAATCTTTTTTGGGAGGGTAGCAAAGAAGAAGAGGAAAAGGCTGCTGAGGAGGAGGGAAATGTTAGGGAGAATGAAGAGCTTGGGGTTATGAATGATATTGGGCTGGGGCTGAACAGCCTTTATGAGTTTGACCAAGTCATGGTAAGTAATGCATTAATCATCTGTTGAATTCTCACCACTAATGCATCACATGTTCTAACAATACTGTAATGCATTTCCGGTAATGCATTACCTTCAAACTCGTGTATGATGACCAAAGGTCTATGGTCGACTCATCACCAGCACCTGTAACCGCTTGGACCACTACTGTAGCAACAACCATCACTGATAATAATAATGTCCCCCCCACTTTCAACCAATTCAACATACCCAGCTTGGATATGTCTGCTATCAACAATTTTATCGCAAGCCTACCACCAGTGCCATCCTATGACCCGTTCACATCTGGTCTCGATGATCTCAACTTTAGCTTCATGGATGACTCCTCCGACTCATTTGATTATCAATATTCCCTGCCCATTGCTCATGGACCAACAGATCATATTTTACCTGCATTCTCGGGTTATACAGCCATGTCTAGTAACACACCACTCTCTCGTTCCAATCATCTACCACCTGCTACACCGCTCTTTCATTCCAATCATCTACCACCTGCTACAACCCCAATCAAGCACCTCCAGCATGAATGTGACAGATTCCAACACATTTGACCCTCTTGCTGGTCTAGAAGAGGAAGGTCTGCATCAAACAACATGCCGCCATGTTCCATCCACACATGAGCATGTTCTCAATGCAATTGGGTCATCAAGTGCACGTGTGCACCCACCTGTCTCTGTTGATAAAGAGAACAACAAGTGATGGAAGGGTAATACTGTTGGCGCAGGCCTGCAGTCCAGAAAGTAAGACCACTGTTTCTATATACTCCCCTTGTTACTTACTGGACTTTTACAACAGGAAACAGAAACACACTTGAATATTTGCTTTCGATCGCTGGTGCTCGAGATGTGAGGCTAGTGCGCGAGTCTGATGGGGAATGTGTTTCAAATCAAGTAAATTAGATTTAGTCAGTATGATTTCGAAGGACTTAAAATGATGAAATGGTTTGGGACATTTTGCTCTTGGTGGCTTCAGAGTAGAAACACGCTGGATTCAATGACCTCTACATAGTGTTGAAACATGGTACAACGGACGTAACGAGCACATTCAAAATGAGAACGAGCAAAAGTATCAATGTCCCACTGACACAAATGTTGATATATGCTCCATAAAATATCATTGAGTCCACACAACAATCTAAGTAACACTTCAAAGATCCACGAGAGGATGAAAATTCCAAAGGCAAGAGGTAAGTACTAGTCCACAGGTTGAATGGAGAGAGACGCAACAAAGTACAAAGACATTCAAGTCTGCAATCAGATGCCAGGCAAAGGAATGATCTAGAAACTTGTTACTCATAGAAAGCTGTGCAAGAAAGGAAATATTTCCTCGGCCTGATGTAGCTGCCTGCTCACTGGTCATCCCTGTTGCAAAGCAGCTATTCGCAGAGTGCCAGTTAAATAGGATCAATGACATGCACTAACACAGAAACGACTGGGTGAACTCGCCTTCCAGGTGTCTGACCAACTCGATTGTCTGCAAGGCCAGGATGTCTTGGCCACTGGCAGGTACAATGATGATCTTTGAGCAGCCTCCACTCAAAATCTTGACTATGAGAGTTTTTTTTCGCCTCCTTCTGTGCATGACTGGAACAAGGGTGAATAAAATGGCTGTTTTGTCAGAGCTTTAGTCACGTACTCTTCCCTTTGCTTCACAATTTACAATTCTAATTCAAGTTTTCTTGATTAGCTTGTCAGGCGCATTCTATAGTCATCGAAGTCCTTGAATTTGACCAAGTAGAATACCACACTTCAACTTCTGTATCACAGTTCAATTACTAGTAGGGCCTTGGCAGGATGAGCAGCAAGTGTGGAGGGCCTTGAGTTGAAGGGCAGGTATATTATGGGAGGGTAGTTAGCACCTAGTAATATGAGTGGGTAGGGCACAGGCATGAATGAACCTGTTGAAGGACCCAATGCTATCAAGCTATATAGGAAGCAGGTATAGCGCTGGCTGCATACACGCGTCGTGATCAGGTACAGAATCTGAGATATAATGCATTAGGTACTGAGAAAAGTGTGCGAGAAAATGCATTACATTGTCTGTCATTGTGAATACATTACACCTGTCTGCTAACTATCCTGTGTTATTGCATTAATATGACATGGTACATCAGCAAAACCCTAACCCTATGTGCAGCGTTGTGCAGCGCTGCACAGCAATCACAGTGTCACAGCGAGGTCCCCCCATGTACAGCGCTGCACAGTACTGCACACTACACAATTTCTCAATAAATCATAATTGTTAGCATACCATCTTGTTATATATATGTTTGTGACTACATTACACTCATTTTTACATAGAATAAGTACCTGTGTGATGTTGCAGAGCCTTTACAAAAAACTCTGTGTGACCTGTGATGCACTGTGTGGCTGTGGCACTGTAGCCAAATCAGGGTTTTGCTGATGTAGCCTGTAAAATAAGCTTGAAATGCACCAATGGAAATAGGCAGACATGGGCAGGACATGGGAGGATTCGGTACCAACAGGATGGAACGGTCGGCCGAGGTGCGCGATGACCAAAACGACAAGTAAGGGACAGTACAGACAACCCTGGGTTCCTGCAAGCAGCCAAGGCAACAGGTCCGTATCGGCCGAGTTGGATATAGTCCGGTGTGACATGGAAGAGTCGAGTGAGTCGAGGCTTTGCAAGGGAGTGATGTATGGATGTGATGTGGACTTCTAGGATGCTTGACCTCTATAGCAAAAAGGGGTTCCACGAGGCTAGCCCGAGTTTGAACACCACATGTGACATTGCCGTCGAGGATGATTTGCATTTCTTGATGATTTGTACCATGGACAATAAAATGCGGATAATTGCTGAATGGCAGGAGAAGATGTCAGCCGCTTACCAAAAATGGGGCGCGTGTGCAGTATGTGCTTATAATGTCCGTGCGTTGCTGTTGCTGTTTCTAAATTTCCTCTTAGTAGTCTCTGCAGAACGAATGTCTGCCAGAGCATATTCTGTCACGCTCTTATGATTTCGAATTATATGATCACGCCATTCTGTACCCTAAAGGCATGACAAAATGTTGGTGGCGCCCCTTTTGCTCTGGAAGCTAATTCAGTGGGCGGAAATCCATCAGCTGGACTGTAAATAGTGACAAGTCACACGACCACATTTTGGTTTACAAGCACATGCCGAATGCAACACCGAATACACTGTGGCACTTCAAGTGCACGGATTCTTGGACCGATATTGTATCGCTGGTGTATCGCGCACTCGATAGTGTATTGCGCAATTTATTAAAGTTCGCTTTGGAGCGTCATATTTCTGATGGTAGGAGTCGACCGTAAATCAATGATGAGGTACATGCCATGTAAAGAAGGAAATGATGAAAATGAAAACTTTGGAGAGATTGATTTCTTCCAAAACAGATGAATACACACAGCTACAATACCTCTTGTATTCTCCGCCACGTTGTTGTACTAGCAGGAATGCGCTGAACGGCTGTCCAAGGCGAATAATCAATCGCATTGCACGCTCGTCCAATTCTGAATCCAACGGGCCTCGTTCTCCGGGCGACCCAGGGAGAACAAAATCATCCACGCTCTCTGTATCGTCTGCATAGTCAGGCAGCTCGAGGAGACGACAATCCCAGGGACGGACGAGTAAGAATGACTGTCGAGTGGGTCTTCCTTGTGAGAACTGAAGCAACCTGTTCTCCGTGGTAATCTTCAGGTCATGAAGCCCGTCTGCCTTGACTTCATACGTGAAGTGGGTCTCCTTGTATTCAATTGGTCTCCGTCTGACTTCTGTGACAGGGAATGCGATGCATGGCAAATGCAGCCGGCGGTGAGCAAAACGTGGAGCGCTCAGGTGGTCAAGTGAGCTGTACAATTTCAAAGCTAACTCAATAATCACAGTGTCTTGTAGCGACGAGACCGATCTCTGCATCTCATCTTCAGATATAGATAGCAACATGTACGGTGGGGCTTCATATGAAGTGATGTCAGCAGGCAGGCAGCTGTTGAATTCCGATGATGCTCCGACCCAGTCCAGGGCAGTAATGTCCCCAGACTCAGCGACGATCTCCTGCAAGAGTCGCCCCAGCGCCTTTTGCTTCTTCTCGCCATACATGATAGGGAGCTGAACACCAAAGATGCCAAATAATGAGTACGCGATATCTTCCTCCACTGTGGTGACACGCGGCGACGCCCATTGCAGTTTCTCGCGGGCGTTTATCATTCCAGGATGGAAGGCGACAAGGGTTTGTACACTATCCCCATCGCGTCCTCCAACTCCTGCATGATCGCAACAGACTGTTTGTGGTTGGGAGAGTGGTCGTCGAGATACGGGGTCCAGTCACTTTGGTAGAAGCGGATGACTTTTGGGGCGAGGAATTCCTGTACGGTCCATCCTCGCGTGTTCCATGCGCTCCTTGCCAGTGCGCCCGGCTTCAACGAAGGCGGAACATCCGACAGGTAGACCATCGTGAGCGCCGAGGTGCGATACCAGACGAACATGGAATTGAGTGATTTTTGGAGTTCAACGTTGTTAGCCTGGTCGATGCAACATGAATCAATCCACCCCCAGTGATACCCCGCAGCGTGAGCAGTTTTGCAGAAAGACTGCAACTTCATGATGCCGCCAACTGCTTTCAACTCATTAACGACCTTGTCCTGGATGTCGTGCAGCAGTGGCTCCTTTCCTTCCCACCGATGCGATAGCATGACACAACGGAAGTACGTTGCCACGACATCTTTGGTGTGCTCCATTCGGAGATCTACATGCACCAATGATGATGATAAAAGTTCCTTATACTCTGTGCTTGTCTTGAAGGCATCGATCTGTACCTCTCGATCGCATAAGCACCCAGTAATGGTATTGAGCAGACGATGCGGGGCATCATCAAGTTGAGCCTTGATAGTCTCTTGAATAGCTCCTTCTGCTTCGGATAGATTGACGTATTGTTGGCGCAGCTCTGGAGAAAGAGTCAAGTATGTTTAAGGATGTGGTTATTTGGGGACGTACTTTGTGTTTGCGTGTCAGGAGCATTCTCCAATTTGGAGAGCATAATTTTGAACGCCTCAATGGCTTCGTCATATCAATGTGCGGCATGAAGTACCATGTGCTTCAACTGATATCCAAAGTAAGATGAGGGGTTGAGTTCGATGACCTGCGCACCATCAAAATGAGCGTCAAATACAAAATGGTAGTTGTCATCACACCTTTTCTGTGTCAAGGAGTGCATCGTCCCATAGCATTTGTCCCGACCTTGCTTTACTGCGGTTTGCAAAGATGGTATTGGTTGCAGAATCGAGATGGATCGCCGCAGAGTAAAGCTCGACAGCCATATCATAATTACCCGCAGCGAGGGCATCATCCCCGCCCGCAGCATAGAGCGCGCTGCAACCTCGCTTGAAAGCTAAGTGAGATGGGGTTGAGAATTATACCCGGTTGACATCACGAAGATTTGCCAGTGGACCAATCAAGGCAGTGAGCTTTCGTAGCCTCATCAGCCGTATCCATCACATATTGGTATGCTTTGATGGCTTTTGGAAGTCTACCTGCCCGAAGGAGCGCATGGCACCAATTCTGGTGTGCAGTTCGCCACAAGGACTGGAGGTCCCACCCGAATAACTAGAAAAGCACAGTCGGGCATGAAAAAATTATTTTCAGTTGCATTGCAATCAACCTACCACTACGAAGATATCATATTTAGAATGGATAGCCAACATAGACGAGAAACCGATAGTGTT